GGTGAAAGCTTGCTACGATCTTGGTTCATAAGCTGACCTTGCTCTTGTCCCCTTTGATCCCTCTTCTCCATCCTATACATTTCCTCCTTCAATTTTTGAGCTTTCTCTTTAAGTTCAAGCTCTTTTCTCATTACTTCCTCCCGTAATTTCAACTCCTTCTATTCATTTTCTCGTTTCATCTCCAAGTTTGCTTGATTGACGTTGATTCGTTTCTCTAAAGTGCATTGCAACTTGTTTAAAGCATCCACAACTCCCTTTTCCTCATTTAGCTTTCTTTTTTTTCTTTGCATTTTTTCATTCCTTCTGGCCGCTCAATACCATCAATATTGGTAAATACAAGTACATCAGCATCACCATTCCCATTGGTTTCCATAACTTCACATGTCATTGTGCTCAGCCCCTTGTTTCGTTGATGTTGCAGCCTTTGTAAGTTCTTTAGAGCACCGCTTGAGATTTTTAATCAAAATTTTCCAACAATCAAGAAATTTGAAAGGAGTGTCGTGCAAATCCTTATATGCCCTCATAGAATTTATTATCTCATAAAACAAATAAACAACATTGTAATACCAAAAATTAACTACTAATACTGAACAATGAGAGCATACAATTTTACCCGGCAGAGAAGGTACTATCACAAATTGCATCCCTACAAAAACTGCTTAAAACACACTAGAAACTTGAGAGTTTCAGAATGTGAGAAAGCAATCAGACAAGCATGTGATTCTATACATAATCCAATTTGAATATCCATTTCAAATGAACTCCTCAATCTTCTAATCACTGCTTAAAGAAGATTTGCTTCAAAGATATTCCCACAGGGTATCAAAGCTCAACTATAGCCACAAATTTACAGAAGTACAACATGACAGGATTAGTCACCACACCATGCACATCCAAGTAGACAAACCAACTATGAGACATCATATCCCAGGGATCTTTTTTTTTTGGGCAAAGGTTCCTGGTTAGCATGAGACTTTTCCAAAATGAAATATATATGAGATAATAATCAAATTTCATATTTGTTCCAGGCTCAAATAAAACAATAGATGAACACTAAATTCAATAATCTCATATTTATCTACAAGCATGTAACTTATTCTATTATCTCATAGATGAACAATATGAGATTTGATTACAAGCTTAGAATTTGTTCATATGAACAATATGAGATTTGATTACCAAATCTCACATATCCCAATTAAATTTATTCTATCATTTATGTAATGATAAACCTTTCTCATACACTAAATTCACTTTTTTTTTTTAATCACAATATTCATCAATGACGTGTTCAGTAAGGAAGATTAAATAAATAAATAAATAAATAAATCTATACTTATATAAAGAGCCATCATATTTACTAAAATTAGTAACAAAAAAATAGGTAAGCATTTAATGCAACCCATAAATAGTAGTTTTATTATTTTTCTTATTTTTTCTTTAAAAATCATACAATTTAATTTATAAATACGCTTTAATATATCATACAATTTAATTTATAAAAATCATACAATTTAATTTTTTTCTTTAAATATACGCTTTAATATATGTATATATATGGTACTTTTTGTAATAAATATGAATAAAATGTGTTACTTAAATATCTAAACAATTTAAAAATTCAAATGTTTAAATTAACTGATAAACAATTTATAAGTTTCTATTTTTTTTTCCGAAACGATAGAAGTAATATAAAAAGCACAAATGTGCAAAAGAACAGATAACAAGTTTCTATTTTATTTAAATATGAAATTTTATTTAAAATAATTTTAAATATAGAAAAACTTATTTAGAAAATCGTATCGATCTTACCAGTTCAACCGACTGGTGTTGACGGATTCAATAGCAAATATTTTATTCAAGTGAACCAAACTGATTATAAACTGGTTCTCGGTCCATCCGGTCGGACTGTGTCAAACACGGTTTAATTTAAAAATGATGGGTAAATCTTGATTAATTTATTTATATATTTAATTTATAACACAATCGTAATATTAATTTCCCGTGCATCGCACGGGCCACGCACTAGTATAGTTATATTCTCCATGACTTATGCTAACGCTATTAGCATATAAGAGCAGTTCTGCTACTAACTTCATATAGCTCTTAGCATAAAATCCTCCCTATATATTATTCTCGAATGCGCTGAGCCTACGTGGCTGTATTTAGTACTTCGAAATCCTACTTGGCAAAGAATCATGCTTCGTAATTAGGTTTGGACAAATAATATTGATATATTAATAATTAATAATCTAGGTTCAGACATTCCATAAATATTATTTAGCTAACTTAGGTATTTTAATATAACTTTTACTAATATAACCCTTTAATTATTTGTAATTTTACATAGTGAGACACTAAGTAACTACTATATCCCTGACTTTTGATTTATTTCCTTCAATTAGCTATTGAATTGTAAATGTATTTTAAAAATTGATAACTTTTGTATTTCTTATCGGTTTTACATATATAATATATCAAATTAATTATCTTTTGATGATCTTCGATTTGACATCCATATTGTGTATATGAAAAAAATAAATCATATTTATCTTTATAATAATAAAAAATAATAATATTTATTCATTAGAAAAATAAAATTATTTCTCAATTGATATATTTATGTTTAATGTAGTTATATGTTGTAAGTCAAAAAAAATATTATAATATAACACATGTAAGTCGCACAAATAAAAAAGTGTCATACTAAATATATAATAATATATATATATATATATTTTATAAAAGGTATTGAAATTTTCAATTACTTTTTCTCATTAATTTTAAATTTTAATAAAAACTTAGCAAGCATTCCGTGTAATAAACGGGCGTAAGTAATTGTCATTACTACTAAATTAACTGTGTCAAAAAACAAATAAACAACATTGTATATTTAATTTGTTCAACTTTATTCTAACAACTTGTAACTAAAGACAAATAAAACAAAACCCACAACTTATAGCACCATATTCATTTTTATTAATTATAGAGGATTGAAATTTAGGAAAAGCATAATACTCTTACCAAATCCTTCGAGTTTGTACCACTTTGTGGATGTCTTTCTAGACGCTCATACATGGATTGAAATTTGCTTACGACAACTTGTATTTTGGACCATTTGAGTTGTAGGCTATTGTTATTTCTAGCCAAATTGCATCCAGTCCCCATGCTCTCTCTCCACACCTCCAAAATACGATCCCACGTAGCTGTTCCCTTTTGATTGGTACCAATATCAGCATCCTCAGAAATATATAACCACGCTTTTGTTAAAGCAATATCTTCCTCTTTGGTCCAATCCTTTTTTTGGAAGTGAAACTTGGGAGCTGTTAGAATTTTTCGTACTTGTCGCCTTTTTTTTTTGGGTTCCCTCGCCGTAGCTTCAACTTCAAAATTACTAATTGGAGAGTTTAAAAGATTTTGAAAGGAGAATTCAGGTGTATGTTGTGGGTTAACAGAAATATATATTCTTGTTATTGGATCAAAGTGATAAAGAGATTGCATTTGAATGTTTAGTGAGTTGAATTGATTTGCAATTTCTGTTGGCCCGAGAAAAATTTAGGGTTGGTAAGTAACTTGAATAATTTTCAGAGTTTTGATATTCCATTTCTGATACGAGTCTGCAAAAAAACACAACATATACATTGAGCAGGTACAAGAATCATAATCTAATGAACCACTACAGCAAATGGAATCAAAATATGACTACTTATCAATTTCTAGTAGCTTAGAATCCTAAAAAAATAAAAAATAAAAAATCATGATAGATATTTAAATGTTGTTCCATGTATACTATGCACAAGCAGCACGTGTATATACCATCATCAAACTCAACCTTTTGCCATTTATTATTCCTCAAATGATATTTTACTTTAATTGATTCAATATTTTCAATCAGTGTACCTCTTTGGCTAACAAACAGTAACAATCAAAACGAAAGGGGATATATACAAAATCCGAGCTGAAAGTAAAAAAAATTGTTCATTTCGAAGAAAGGTGCATAGGAGTTACAAATTTACTGTTCAGGATTCATGGTTGGACGCGATAATTCAACGGCGAAGAAGAAAATCTTACCCGTCTCTAACACTGTCGCCTCTAGTTATGATGAAGAAAGAACAAGAAGATTGAAGTTTGATTGCTCCGAATATCTTCTGAATTTTCTCGTCTCTCCCTCGATTGCCCGCGGAAATCCTCCTATCTGTGCGCGCAAGTTTTTTCCCGCGTTTTGTTAAGATTTTGGCACGAATATCTTCTGAATTTTCTCGTCTTCTCCCTCAATTGCCCACGAAAATCCTCCTCCCACGTTTTAATTAGATTTTGGCATGATTGTGGTGAGTCATAGATTTTGGCATGATTGTGGCGTAACCACTTTCTCAAGTTTCAAAACTGTGCAGGTATACTTCAGCTAAACCAAAACCGTCATGTCTGATATGTCTGGCTAGAATGAGGAAGCTCACACATATAACACTTCAAAATCTCCTGCTAAAACTGGATAAAACTCAAAGATGCAACACAAATGACAATAGCTAGGCAACTAAAAGTTCACATGTTGATAAGGCACAAGAAGCTTCAGAAGCACCAATCAGCCCACAGTGTTAAGTTCTCATATCATAACATCAGAAAATGAATAAGACGAGTCATTTCAAATCCATTCCTTCCATAATAATATCTCAAATCAATTAGAACTACTACAAGTAGAAAGGCCTCTCTGTGAGTAAAGACAGAACAAACCAGACACAATTAAAAGAAAAATTCTGCAAACTCTTATACACTACAATCATAAACCTCAATTAGTTCTTATCGAACATGTCAAGGCATGAATGAAATTTGCAGTACAGTATCACCATCTAACCAAACGGCTATTCATTTCTCAACGAATGGTGCCAATAATAATATCCGATTAACAAGCAAAAATGCCGGTATCAAATCTCCAAACACCAAAACGCCTCGGCAGCCACCAAAACAAAAACACAATAATACAGAACCCCATTTCCTCTCTTTTATCAGCTCCTCTGTTCGATCGAACCATCAGGACCAACAACAATATCCTCAATCTCCTTCCTCATTAAATACTGATTCAAGATTGTTAGACGGGCCGTCTCGAATGCAAAGTACCCAATGGCAGAAAAACATGCACTGTAAAAGACCCGGGGCCCCATCCCACGGGTCAACCCGACCCACCCTTCCTCCTTGAGTATCTGTCTAACCGTCGAAATCACCCCATCATACATAACAGCCGAGGCCCTATTCACGGCCGCTTGAGTCATCAACCTGGTCTTCACCACATCAAGAGGGGTCGTCAAGGATGCCGAAATTGCCCCTGCCAATGCCCCACAGCATACACTCTCGTGCGGCTCCAAGTTTGCCCTTTTCGTCTCTCTCAAGACAGCAGCTTTCAGGTACTCGAACGAGGAGTAGCTAAGCACTCCAGCCGGCAGGTTCCTAAGCAAGGTGGCGCTGTACCCAGCATAAAGCCCTAAAATGCCATCTTTCTCTAGAATCTTCAATAGAACCTGCCAGGATCTGCCCTTAGCCCCCGCTTGCATTCTCTGGGTGATTAGCTCCTTGGGCACCATGATCGCAGAGGACACGATGTTCCCCATGGCACCGGCCGTTGGTGGAATTAAAATGGGAGGAAAATTTCCGATTTTGGACAGAAACGACTTTCCGAACTCGCACGTGCCGAAATAGACGGCGGAGGAGAAGGTGGAGCCAACTATAACGGCGGAGATGCCGCTGTAGAACCCGAGGATCCCCTTGCTCCGGAAGGTCTTCACGAAGGCGTCGAAGGCGCCGCTGTAGATCTCGGACGCGCCCTTCGTCTGGAGCTTGGTCTTGATCGTGTCAAGGGGGTGGAGGCAGACGTAGGTGAAGGCGCCCGCCGTGCCGCCTGCGGCGGCGCCGATGACCGCCCTCTCGAGGACGGACAGGGTTTTGAACAGAGCGTGGACCTTGGGAGAACCCCTGGTGGCCGGCTTCAGCCAATTGTCGTGATTTTCTGCGAGTTTCACGCTTTCCTGATTGGATAGTGCTGTTGATGCGAAATTCGGAGAAGCGGTGTGGATCTTCGCGATGTGTTTGTTTGGGGGGCGTTTTGGGGGTTTAGGGTTTAAGGCGATCGGGGTTGAGCTGGAAATGAGGGCGTTGAGGTGGTTGAAATTGGAATTGAAATCGGCGAGGGTGAGTGGGCTGTGGGCGAGGACGAGGGCTCTGCGAGTTCGAGCTTCCATTGGAGGTGAAGTTTGGTGTTTTTTTTTCTGAGTGGCAGCAGGTCAACGGTGGTGTTTGGTGGTGATTTGGGAATGGGAGATTGGAGAAGATAGTGTCAAAAAATTGAGAACAACAATTCGGATCGTGTTCGCTTCTATCGCAACGGGTCGGGTTGGAAGAACTGCAATTTGCAAGTTGCCACAAACATTTTTCACTATTTGTATTTTTGTTAACAAGCTAGAGCTTTTGATACTGAGTTTTTAGGGTTTCATGTAGGCTTGATTTTTGGATATTGTATTCTAATGGTGTCTACGTTTTAGTTTTTTGAAGTGAAAGTTTTACTTTTAAGTTATTCTATTTTTTATTTTTTTCAAAAAGATAGAGAATAGTATAAATCAAAACGCATAAAAATATAAATATACAGCCACTAGCTGAATAATACAATAAACAACTGAAAAATTGGGAACACAGGTCAGAAGACCGTCTAGAACCGCAACTAGCAACGCTAAAAACCAAGGACAAGACTCACGACACGATATACCAAACAAATACTAAAAACTACAACAAAGCTCCTAATATGAGAATTGACACGATCACAAAGGGATAATACCCGCTCACACTCGGGGTCACATGGGCCAACAACCCAAACAAAAAACACAAGACCTAATCAAAACAAGCACAAACCACATAAAACAGACTAAAATGAAGAACCTAAACTACCAACAAACGAAGCCCTTCCACATGAGAGAGATCGAGTCGAACCAGCGGATGAACAATCGATTTCAGGGAGAAATCCAAAGGCCAAGAACCGCAACCAAAACTGCCTAACCGCCTAGCTGATGCCAAAAACCGAGCCCATAACCAAACCCATAAAAAGATTTGTCCCCAACTAGGAGAAATTTGACACCCCTTTACCGGCTAACACCATTAGCTGAGACCAGCACAACCCTACCCTTCTAAGACCACTAGTCGAGTATAACCGCGTCAGTTCCCCCGAACCCAAAAGCAAGAACCAGGGAGATAAGAAGATGTCGGCTCCTCCGCTTAGGCCGCTCCGACGCAAACGCCACAAGGCTGCCCGAACCTCGCCTCGTTTCCAATTCACACAATACCCAACGACGTTGCAGCTCCGGGAGGCCGGCAACCGCCGCCAAGACCAACCTGGAGAAGGGAAGCACGACCACCGAACGGAGGGCTGAGCCGCCAAGGGAGACCCCGGGCTGGAGTCTCGATTCCGCCGAGGAAGGCGAACGAAGCTGAAGACATAACGCGAAGCTGCAATTTGTGGTTAGGGTTGCGGCGAACTTTTGAGGAAACCCAACTCTATCTTAAGTCCATGTGTATTCTCAATATAAGAAGTCATTTTACATTCTACTTTTTGATTTAAGACTCTAAATTATTTTGTATTTTGACATCCTTAAGTAAACCACAATACTTTTTTTTTAAAAAAAAAAATTACTTTCTAAGTACTTATAAGGAAAAATATTATATATATTAGTAGACTTACCTAATAAAATAATTGTTTCATAATTTACGTTCATGCAAAAACTTAATGGAATTTATTTAAAAGTTAAATAATATAATTTAACTGAATTTTAATCTAAATATGTGATAACATTAGAAAATAGACTATTTAGAAAATAATATTTTTTTAAAAAAATAAAAAATATTATTTGTGAATAGAATTTATATTTTTAAAAAAATTAAGAATATATAAAATTAATACCTAGAATAAAAGTATTAAATATATTTGTAAAACCAACTTCGTAAGAAAATTGATTCAAATAAATATATTTATTAAAAATTATTTAGTTTAAATGAATTAGTTTTCATACTAAAGTAATTTCACTAAAGATATTTATAATTATTTAAAATATAAATTTCAAAATTTATATTTTGATTTATATATTTATGTAAAAATAAAAAATTAGATGGTGTCTTAAATTGAGAATTAAAATGTAAAAGTAATCCTTTAATTGAGAATAACTTAAAATTGAAATCCTTAAATGAAGAAAAGTTAAAAATCAGGTCATATTGTGACACAAATGTCAAGTCCTAAATTGATTAATAAAAATAATTCAAGCAAAAAAATAAAAAAAAAAAAAGAAAATCATAACTATTGTTTAATTCGACATAGAATTCTGAACCGAGTAGTTTAAAGAGAATAACATAAATAATTTGATCGATTTATTAATTTATCGATAAAATTAGGGTAAGGAAAAAAATAAGTGTCTTTCAAATATATTAAGATTCCCATTTTACGTAAACTCAAGAAACAAAAAAACACGTTTTTCATTAAATTATAATAACAATTACTATTATTGAAAAGATTATCAAATTTGACCAATAAAAACTTTATAATTTTACTAATTCCAACATCATATTTCAATTATTATATATTTGTTAAGACTTTTTAAGACTTTTAAAAATCGTGAGGTATTCAATTGGAATTTTTAAAAGATTCCATAAAATTCTTCCACTTCAAATCCTACCTCCAGACTTAAGATTTTATATAATCTTCCCAAATCTAAAAATTTCAAAAAGTTTCAATTTATTTTTTTTGGTACCGGGACCTTCCGGTTTCCGGATCCACAGGGGAACCGACTAATCCGGAATCGAGCCGGGTAGGACCACAAGGGCGGCAAAAAGTTTCAAATTTTAAAAAATCTTAAAATGTCACTTATAAATTCCTAATTGAATATATAGGGTAAGACTACAGTCTCGTTGCGGAACCATTTCGTTGAGATTTGTAACCATTAGATGCACATCTAAATTAGTTATCACGTCAATCTAACCAGGGGCGAAACTATTACCAAATCTGGAGTGGCGCCGGCCCCTCCAAAAAAAATAAAAATTTAAACTAAGGGTGGAGAATTTTGCTGGAATTGGAAGATTTTTCTTTGAGCGTGTATATTGGGCCATCCCCGGTTTCATGCGGTACATACATGGCCGGAGGGGCGCCACTAGTTTTGTCGTGATTTTTTTTAAAGGCAAATTGGGTTCTCCCTGAAATGGGATCCTGGTTTCGGAACAAGGAGAACTATAACAACAACATAATTTAATATTTTTTTCATTTTTATTATATTTTGAGTTGGTTAATTAGCCGACTTGCGGTGTACCGACGGGACTCAAAAACCGAGTCGATCATTACCAAAAAATACTTTTATGAAAGTACGGGAAGCGGAGAGTCCGCTGGTGGCATCGATTTATGATTTTGAGGTCCCGACCATTTATTTTGGGTAGCCCGAAGTAAAGAGAAAAATGACAGTGGCGGTGATTTTATTGTCATTTTCATGTCTAGACTTCGGGTAACCGTCAGCTCTCGTTAGGTGTGCTGAAAATTAGCGGGAGTGCTTTCTTGAAAGCACGAGAACAGTAGAAGCCGTTCGTAAAATTTATTTCATGTTTCGAAGTTTCGAGCATTTATTTTGAGAAGTTCGAAATCGAAAGCGCATAATAGAAGAATAAAACGCCATTTTGCGGGGTCCCGTAAGGTTGCGTGTGACCTCGGTTTAACGAGAATCGAGTTGGGCGTGTGGACAATTCAAGCACGATTCCATAGGGACAAATTTTGCATTTTTCGGAGTTCTGAGCATTTATTGTGGGAGTTTGAATTTCTGCGTTAAATAGTATCAAAATGAGCAAATTTGTCGAGGACGAGTTCGATCGTTCGAGCTTCGTTTTCTCAATTTTTTCAGCTTTTCGTCTATTCGCAAGGAAGTATAATTCTTGATTATTATTATAATTGAGTCCGAGATTTTTATGAGTATAAATTTGAGTATTTTTCGAGTTAAAACAATTCAGTATAAGTATACAAGTTTAATTCTCGACTTAGTTTGATTTTTAGAAAAATCTCTAGAGTATTCTTTTATATCCTGCGAAAATTTTTGAGAGCGTCTACAAAAGCCCTTTGAGCGTCCTTTCGATGCCGGAGTGGGGGTGGTGCGCCGCGGCAAATTGGGCCCTCCCCGGGATGACCGGCTGGTTTCGCGTAACAGGATTGTAGCATTTTCTAAATACATACATTCTATACTTAAGTATAAAAATTCACTAATACATATTTCACACGTGGATAATACGTGGAATGTGCTGGATGTGTTGTCCCAAGCATGACGGTCCTTTTATTCCCCGTAATTTCAAAAGAATTGAGTGGCCAATACATTATTTAGGGTTTTTGTTCGAAGCTAAAAGCAGCAAAAACCCACGAAGGAGAAGCTGCTCGTCAAGCGTATCGAACAGGATTTCAAAAACCCTAAGTAGCAGGTTCAGTATTTTTCTCCTCTCATTAGCTTTTTCGCCAGTACTAAGTTGTAATATCATTGTTCTGTAGAAACCCGCTTGTTATTGGGCGTTGATTTGATTGTTAAAGTTATGCGTGTGCTGAATTGGAAAAGACGAGTTCTTGATTTGCTCAGTAACCTAAATTTCACACTCGGGATTGAGTAATTGCTTTGTCTTTATGCTCGTTTAGGGTCCGGATTTAAGAATCCAGTTGTGATTACAGAGCGTGGTCTATATTTTGGTATTTTACATGTGTGTGAATTCAGTAAATCAAATTGATGAGGAACCAAGGCTGTTATTTGAATATAGTTGTATACCGTGTACTGTCTGGATTTACCGTGTTTGCAGTCGTTCCAATATTTTCGTATTCACTTTCTATAATGGGGAAAAATATGCTGATATCCTGTAAATATTTGACGAATTGTGTTGCAATTTATAGTGGTTTTCTTATTGTGGCATTTGATCATCTGTGAAAATAGCTAAGTCTTATTTGAAATCCTGGTTCGTGCTAGTATTTACTAGCGAGACTGAATTCCTTGACATATCTGTAGTTGTAATTGACAGTTGATAGTTGGATAGCACGTTCTACTGTCTACCGATGTGTAAAATTGAAGCTTCTTCCCTCTTCATTAGCCCCCATCTGAGTTACTGTAGTTGTGATGTAAATCGTTTTTCCACTCGTCGTTACAATTCCAAGATTTCATATTTGATACATCTATAGTTGTCCAGCCGCCACAAGAGCTTTATAAAGGGGAGAATGATTGCCTGAAAGCAATATAATAAGCTGTCATTTGGTACAGTTTTAGGAGAAATTTGAGGTGGGAAGAATGATATTAAATTTCTGGTCAAATGATCAAATTATGTTGTTTAACTGCCATTGAACGAGTGAACTCAAACAACAGTAATAATTTGTCAATTCTTTCCCTTCTTTTCTTCGTATTGTATTTCTAAATCCATTGATTTATTTATTTCTTGTGCACAGCCGAATATGGCCGATCAAGATGAGTTTCGCTGCTTTATTGGGAATCTATCATGGTCGACATCAGACAGAGGTTTGAAGCAGGCATTTGAAAAGTTTGGGCATCTTGTGGATGCAAAGGTATGGTATCCAAATCAATCTGGCTTTCGTTCTTTGCTTGTTAAAACTCCTCTGTGGCTGATTGGTGTTATTATGTCTACTTGGAATTGTATATTTCTGATTTTTTGTTATCTTATGATTGCATTGATTGCTGATTTGATTTTATGCTCTTGATTCCTTCTCATGTGACATATAATGAATAACAAATTTCTTAAAGAGGTTCCCATTCACATTTGAAGGGTTTAATGTCGATCCAAGTGATCATATTTTTTTTAATGGAAAATTGTGTTTTAAATAATCAGAAAATTGTTTCATGTGTTAGAATTCAGAGAAAATACCCAATTTTATGAGTTGTTAGGTGTCACATTCCACATCTGTGTGAATTTTGATCTGGTTCTTAGCTTAGTCCAAATCAAGTTTTAAAAATTGTTGCCGTGAGTTCTTGGTGGCATTATCAAAATGTTCTACTAGAGTCGAAAGCTAAAGGGCTGTGCTGAATAAGGGCATTGCCTGCATTTTCTCCATCTCTATTTCCTACCAAGAATCTTCAAAAATTAATATTCCCCCGTTTTGTTAGGTTGTAGTCGACAAATTTTCAGGCCGCTCACGTGGGTTCGGATTCGTCTCCTTCGACGACGAGCGTGACATGGAAGAAGCCATCAAGGCAATGAATGGGATGGATCTTGATGGCCGTTCCATAACCGTCGATCGGGCCCAGCCCAACCAGGGCTCGGGCAGGGACCGTGATCGTGATGGCGTAGATAGAGACCACGATCGTGACAGAGGTGGACGTGACCGTGACAGCAGGGGCAGCCGGAACCGAGACGGCGGTGGGGCCCGTGGATCGGGTGGCGACTGTTACAAGTGTGGAAAGCCTGGGCATTTTGCAAGGGAATGCCCCTCGGGAGAAGGGTCGAGGGGTGGCGGCAGGTATGGCGGGAGGGATGACCGATATGGTAGCGGCGGCGGCAGCAGCCGCTACGGGCCGGATCGTAATGGAGATAAGTATGGTGGCGGCGGCGGTGGTGGGAGGAGCCGGGACTCGGGGAGTCGTGGTGGTTCGGGGAATGATAAGTATAGTCGCGACCGGTCGGGCCCGTATGAGCGCCCCTCGGGCGGCTTTCGTGATTGATGTGGTATCGTCTAAGGTGATATTATTGCATACAACTAGTTTTGAGTGCATGCTTGGATATAAATTTACTCGAACAAATTTAATCACAACTCAAATTTAACTCCAACTCAAATCTCCTCGTTATTATCAATATAATTAAATAATAGTAATCAATCATATTCACACATCACGTCACCTTTAATTCACTATTCATCCACTCACATAATTTTAATTACTCATCGCTTCCAATCATCTTTCTTATACATTTAATACAAACTCAAAATCCTATTCAAACTTAACCCAATCCATTTTTTCAAAATTAACTCTTGTTAACCAAAAATTTCAATCAAAACAAACAAAACTTGTATCCAAGCATGCTCTCAGTAATCATCCCAAATCTTTCTTTTTATTTTTGAATTTTGAAATGATTGTAGACACCATACTAGTTCTTGAATCATTTCATTCATTCATTCTAATCATTAATCCCTCTTGATTAGTAGTAAATTTTTTGATTGACTATTGACACACGCATGGCGTTCGACTACAGGTCCACTAAAAATGGTAGCTTGCGAGTGTGGAGGGAGCAGACAAAATAGGTGCTTTCCTTATTTAAATGCTTTGAACGAGAGGTGCTATCAATATCATGCAATTCTACTGTTAACGATCGAGTTTGAGTTTGTTCAGTGATATTCATGGATGGCTTTTTAACATTTTGGAACTCTTGCTGTCCTTGTTTGGTTAAGGATTTCTTTTTTCCCCTTTTTTGTTGCTTGGCATGTTGATATTGATAATGGTTAGGGAATTATTAACTATGTGAGCTTTTGAATGAATCTACTTTAAATTGGAGAACGTGCTTGCATCTCTTGCGACTGACCTTATGGAGCTAAATTTTGTCGTTTACATGCTCCGATATCATTCGAGGATAGCCCCTAGTTGCTATAAACATAGGTTATGTTTACTTAAAATATATTTTAGCCTCTTTGCGGGTTCAATAAGTGGTTTTAGATTTGTATTTACGCAAAATAATGCCCTGCGTGTTTGTTTACAGCCATGCCTAATGGTTAGCTATGTTTCACCACTTTGGTGGAGCCGTGTATGTGAAATGTAGTAATTAGGTACTTAGACTATGGAGTTGCCTATAAAAGTTGGTCTTTTGAAGCAAGGTGTATGCGTATGGATCTATGGAAGGTGATCCTCTTAAATTAGGCTTTTGCATGATTGAGGAATTTTCAATTTCAAACTTGTAGTTAAAATAATTATTATAAGCTAATGTTTGCGAAAATAATTGATTGTTCGTAATTGGCTCGAGCAATTTGGGTCATGTTAGTTCGGCCAATAGGCAAGTCTAATTTTTTGTATAAAGAGTGAATTTTTGTACAAAATGAAAGTTTAGGTTTTTATATTGTGTAGCATAAATAACGTAGCGCATTGCGTAAGCTATTCGAGCATAAATAGCGTAGCGCATTGCGTAAGCTATTCGAGCAGTTCATTTTAGTGCCAACAAGGATAATATATATACTCATACAAGTAAATAAATAATTGAAATAGTCCCTAAATTATTTTAAAAAATTGGTCGCTATTCTACTACACTCACACCAACACTAAAATTTTCCTTTTTTTTTTTTTTCTCTTCTTCTTCTTATTTTTTATCTCATTTCCTCTTTCTTTATTCTTTCTTCTTTCTTCTTCCTTCTTCTCTCTTCTTCCTTTTTCTCCCCTCTTCTCGCAGACTACTTTTTTTTTTAATCCTTCTTTCTCTTAAATTTTCTTCTTCTTTATTCTTCTTCTTATTTGCTTTCTTCTGCTTCTTATTTCTTTCTTCTTCTTTTCCATTCGCAGACAACGATTTTTTTTCTCTCTCTTAATTTTCTTCAATTCAAACTCACAAACACAAATTTCTCAACACTCCCAAATTAATTCAATTAATCCCAAAATCAAATAATGATATACACGATGGAACTGTAAGTTCAATCAGTCAGAGGCCGACGACCGGCGGACCGGGGGCTTTGGCAGGGGGCCCGCGACGGTGGTTCGGCCGAGGGAGTGAACGAGGGTTTTTTTGTGAGTCGTGAATTCTGTTCGATGGCCCGCAACGTTTTTTTGATGAATTACTTTTCTTTTTATTTCTTGCTTATAAAAACTTAAGCCCAAATAGCGTCCGCTTCCGCGAATATTGTGTAAATAGCGTATGCTGTTCCAAATAAAGCGTGCCACGTCATCAAAGGCGTACGCTATCTCAGAACTACGCGATATTATGAGCGCTACAACGCGTTTTCGATGAAAAATGCGCTACTGCGCGCTGTAGAGCGCGCGAAAAAGTGCTATTTAAAACACTGGTCATAGTACATATAAACATTAAAGTCGTGTTTGGTAAATTAGTTGATAAGTTAATGTTGAGCTTATGGCTGAAAAGCTAGCTGATGTGAAAGCCGTATTTGGTAAATTTAGTTGATAAGCTACTTGATAGTTGATAAGTTAATTTTGAACTTATGACTGAAAAGCTAACTGATGTGGTAAAACTGTTTGATAAAATTATGTTAATTTCAGCTTATGGTTGAAAAACTAGCTGGTATGATAAAAGTGTTTGATAAAATTACGCTTATTTTGAGCTTATAGCTGATAGCCTATGGTTTATGGCTGAAAACTATTTGATATGACAAAAAGTGTTTGGTATAATTAGTTGAAATCAAAATTTAAACGGATTTATTTGAAAAAAATTCCAAAGAAGTTTATGAGAAAACTTACACTATCTTTATTTGTATAATACAGAAAGCTTAGACCATCTTTATTCCGACTATATTCAATCCAACTCAACCTAATAATTAAAAATTTATTTCTATCATCCACCTACAAAACATAACTCTGCTATTTTTATTTCCGACCTAACTCAACCTAGTATATTTATTTATTTTTGTTCATATATTTATTAAGCATTATCTACAATTAATTTTTGTTACTTTTTTAGTTGGATCCACGTGGTATTTGTTGGATTTGTTTTATTTTTTTATCAAACATCAAATAGATTAATTAAATATAACTCGAATGTAAATCAGGCGCAGCCAAAGTGTCACAACATATCACGGTTTACAGAGAACAACCGAGACGTGATAGGGAAAGCTCAACAAGAGCCAACCTAAAGGACCAAGCATGGCCACACAGTATCAACATAAACTAGAAAAAACAAACAAGAAAGCAAGAGAAGACATCACCTAAACACATAAAACAAGAGAGAGAAGAAAAGAGAGAGAGCAAAGATCGAATGTCTTCAATTAGGACGGTAGATTCCAAAAGGTAGAGAGCTTCACCAGTCAATATTTGATAGAGGTCTTTGTCTTTAACTTCCAGCACAATCTTTTCCCAACCTAAGATGAGCCCTTCCTTCAGCCATGCTCTAACTTCAAGAAGTAGAGCATTTGTTGATTGTAGCTGCAATGTCTTCATGGATTTAGTCCAACAGGCCACTTTATATTAGCACAGACTTCGGATTGAGAGACATTATCACTGGCAGCTTGAGAAAGCTCCCCTATTCCTTGAATCTCACCAGAGTTAGCAATAAAAACCGCAGTCCTAAGCTTGAGCAGATGCTGGCCAAATTTAATGTCCTCAAATTCCAACCACTCCAGCTTTGCCCTTTCAACTAGTTGTTGCTTATATATGACTTCTATTTCAATTAGGCAAATGTTCTTGTTCTTCACAACCACTGTAGGAAATAAACAAAGAGAGAAATTCAATTTCTGTTATGCTCTAAGTCCTGCATGCAACATAAGTCAAGCCACCAGCAAGTGAAAGTGTTTTCTTTGTGAGTCGGGCAATCCCGGTTCAGTCCAACAAGCTTCCATACATTTTGGGCTCTGATGATGGAACATAAGGTGCTCCAGAGTTCCATCTTCCTCTGTACACCAACAACATTTAGTATCAATATCCAACTTTCTTCTTCTCAATGCAGTAGTTGTTCCAATCCAGTTATGGAGACATCTCCATATAAAGTTTCTGATTTTTGGCTTGATTTGAAGTTTCCACACCTTCCGCCACATCTAATGTATGTCTCTCATAACACTGCTAGATTCTGCATGCTGTCCATGCCCCAATTTAGATTGATGAATGGTATGGTAGACAGCCTTGACCGTGAATTGACCCTTCTATCTGAATGTCATATGAGCTTATCTTTTGAGTCAATGACTTATATGGGTTTGCAGGACTAGCAGGGAGTGAATGACTGGAGAATCAATTCAGTGTCCCATTCGTGTTCCCCTGCAACCATTAAGTCATAGACTTTTTGAAGTGTAACAAAACAACAAGTAGGTTTAAAGCCATTTAAGTTTGAGATCCATGGAGAGTCCCAAATTTTGATAGATTGCCTATTTCCCACTTGGTATCTTAACTCTAGGGCCAAAGAGTTCCTACAGTCTAGCCACCCTTTCCGTAACCAGAAATCAGAGTCTTTCTTCTTAACATCTAAGAAGCTCTGGTTATGCCAGTACTTACTTCTCATCACTCTACTCATTAAAATAGTGGGCTTAGTTAACATTCTCCAAATTTGCTTTAAGATCAGGGCCTCATTCATAATGCTTAAATCCTTGAAACCATCCCCCTTCATTTTTGGATATAGAAAGGTTACTCCAACTAGCCCAATGACTTTTATCACCATTTTCCGCATTCACTCCCCACCATAATCTAGACATCTCTCTACAAATATCATAGCAAATGCCCATAGGCAGTTTGAAAACAAACATCACATATAAGGGCAAGACACTCAACACAGTTTTGATTAAAATCTCTTTACCAGCATCACTCAAAAAAATATTTTTTCAATTCTTTACCCTGGCTAAAACACACTCTGAAACAAAAGTAAAAGTCTCTTTCTTGTTTCTGCCTATACCCATTGGGAGTCCCAAATATCTAGAGCTCTTGGCCATTGTAGAATTGGCAGATTTGGGATTGCTCATGCATAGGGGTATTAACATAAAAGAAAATATTGGATTTATGAAAATTTACAGCTTGAGCTGAGGCAGAACAATAGGAGTGCAAAATCTGCAGCAACGAAGAAGCATGGTATTGATCAGCTTGGAAAAATATTAAGGAATCATCAGCAAAAAATAAATGAGAAATACTTGGGGAAAATTTTTACTAATTTTCAGGCCTTTAAAGGATTGGGAGGAGCAAGCTTGATGAATGAGATCAGAAAGTGCCTCAGTAATAAGCATAAAAAGGTAATGAGATAGGGGATCTCCTTCCCTTAGTCCCCTAGAAGGAATGACCTGCCCTAAATCCTGACCGTTTAGATTAAAAGAAAATGACGAAGAGTTGATACAAGACCAAATCCATCTCAGGAAGTTTTCACAAAAGCCTAAGTCTTGCATATTTTAATGACAAAAGGTCATTCTACTCTATCAAAAGTTTTGACCATATCTAATTTAAGGGCCACATATCTTTTTTTTTCCTTTTTTTTTTT